GGAGTGTGTGGCCAATCTCGTTTGGAGAAACATCGCGTCTCCTACTGACAAGAAGGAAACCTCTAAGAGCATGAAGACTTCGGAATATGGAGTACCAATACTTCATTGAACTAGTAATATCGGAAGGGATCGATGCCGGTCCATAAAACCCCGGTTAGATGCGGATGATCCTGTACTTTTGTTGCTTTGATAAGTGTTTTCGTGGCGAGCTTTGTCCTATACTGATGCTCGTACCCAGAGACCAAGTGTGCAAGTGATGGCTTATAGAATGAAGGGCCATATTATTTTCTTGCAAATTGTGCGATGATGAAAGATGCAGCTTTTTTGTGTAACAGGCATTTTCGAAGATGGAGCAGAAGTGCAGTACATTACTTGATCATCTGGCAGGTACTAGCAGCTGGCAACAAATAGTTTTGACTGGGCGGATCTTTGGCCACTTGAAGTATGAGTACATAGTTGGTTAGGTATCCCGTCCTGTGCCAGGGGGTGCTCTCTGCGATGCTGCCATCTCTGCTTGATTGGTTGATGTTGGGTTGGTTGATCGTCTCGGCGGACGTCGTTGCTGACTCATCTGATCAACTCGCGTCATCTGTTCTGGTGGATGAAGCCTTCTTAGGTATTTTCAGGTCGAGCAGAGCACTAAGTCATGTCCCAAATAATCAACATTCGACGTGACCTGGGATCAAAATGACGATTGAGTGGACAGCCAGATCAGCATCACTTTGGTACCATGAATCCATGCCCAGTCTGATGCTTGATCTGACAACGCCACTGATGGGGACTTTTCCTTGGGTCATCTAATCTTCCCCCATCGGGAGTTTTCCACCGGTCCACCAGGAGAGGACAGCTCCGCGGGTGAACCATGGCTCGAAGCACACTGATCAGGGACAATCAGGTACAATAAAGATGGGTGCATGTACTATGGATGCTATTGACGGGACTGGCTGAGGTGCAACGACTAACTACCACTCTTTAGCTCTTGGTTGACCGTGAAAGCAAGCAATGAATCGAGGCAACAGCAAAGAAGAAATCAGAAGAGATTAATAGTCACGGCCTGTGGTCAGTTGGCCCTCCCAAGAGGGTTCCAGTTCGGATGAGGATCGTCATAGTCATCGAATTATAATCATTCAACAGCAAGCCGCACGGGTAGTGGCAGGAAAATCGTCTGCACCCGATATCCAACCACCGCCCCAGGATGTGAGGCGCTGACGCCCTAAGAGTCAATGCGAGTTTCTAGGGGGGGAGTTGGGGTGGGAAAGCAGAGTCATCTCTTGCTCATCATGGGTTAATGTAAAAAAAATACCCATTACCTCTCCTCTTCTACTCCGTACTGGGGAAGGATGGGTGCAAAAAGGCAAAAAAGAACCTTGAAGAAAGAACTTAAGAAGAGAGGATGGAGGGTCTAGTTGGTGGAGTCAGTCGTGGCACCAGACAATAGCCAGGCAGCCCAAAAGCCGGCCCAACAACCCAATCCAATCCACTCAGCGCCCTCTTCTTCCCTCCTGTCTAATCCAGTTGCTCCTCTTCTCTCCGGTCAGAGTCTCTCTCTGTCTCTCTCTCTCTCTCTGTGTGTGTGTCTGCGCCCCCTCCCGTCCCTCCCTCCCTCTTTCTCTCTAGCCTAGCCTAGTCTGTAAGGTAAAGCTCCTCCCCCTCCTCTTTCGCTTTTCTCATTTTCTCCTCTCTCTTCTCTCCTCTTTTCCCTTTTCGCCTCTCAACTGGAAAACTGGAAGGTTTCTTCTCTCTTATCTTCTCCCCACCCCGTCTGTCATACTTTTCCTTTTCCTCTCCTTCCCTTTAGCTCTTCTTTTTCTCCTCTCTTCCCTCTCCCATCTTCCCTTCCCCCAACCTCCTGACCCCCTTCCCCTCCACCACCACCACCATCCTCTCACCTTTGTTTCCTGACATTACCCCCGTCAGCTCAGAGGTTCTACGTGTTTGTATAAGTTGTGTCTGGAGAGACATCACAAAGAAGAAGAAAGCCACTTCTTCCCGCAGGAATTTGAAAAGAGAAAGATCTTTGCAACCTTTCTCTCATTCTCGTGCCAGTGACTTGACAACCTCGGACCGTGATCAATCAACAGCTTCTCTCCGATCCACACATCTGCCTCGTTCGGACCTTTGCCTATAAATTGACTGTCTCTTCCATTTCTGGTTCACTTTTAATGCACAAAGTGACCTGAAGCGTTTCAAATCGTTCTTCACAACCCACCCCCTGGATACATACACCAAGCGCCCATTCCGGATTTGTTCCTTTTCTTCACGCCGGAAATAAAGCCAGATATACCACTGTGGGAGCTCAACTTCGTCTCGTGTTCTGCATTTGTGCTTGTGTCAACCAAGAATTGGATTAGCCTTTGGTTCTCAGCCTCGGATCTCCTGGACACAGCCTCTTAGAACTGCACTTCGTTCCGTTTCTTGTTCCCAAGCAACCCAAGAGACCATCTACCTACCGTCATCTTCCTCTGGACCCGTCGGCTATTCCTTACTCTCCTGGATCTCCTTTGGCCACTTGGACCCGTTGACTATAATTTAATAACTGGAAACCGTTTATCCCTGGACAAAATGACTGGCCGTCATGGATTTGAAGGACGCCCGGAGCGTCAGAACGAATATTTCATTCCCGGTGATGGTATCAGTCGGGAAGTTATCCAAGCAGATATTTGCCGTTACCTCGGGAATGATGCTCTCGTAAGACCTGGAAATCACAATGTTTGTTCCCCAATGTTCTTCCTGTTCTTTTCACCATGCCATGGCACGACTGATGGCAGAAGCTATCTCTTGAGGACACAAGACTGACACACATGAGCAGGGTCGCCAAGGCTACTTCATTCGAGCCTACCGCAATCTCACCTCTGTATGTTCTCGCACAAGCGCATCGTAGCCGTCATCATCCACAACGTACAATCAAACTGACTGTTGATGCAGGAAATGATTGCTGATCTCAAAGCCGACTCTGCTCGGTGGGAGGCAGACGTTTCACGCCGAATGGACCAAGGCAATCCCAGAGGTAGCTACGCTCACGACTACAGTTATTCCCAGGCGCCTAACATCTCTCCCGCAACCTATCCAGCCACGACCATCCATGAAGGACGTCAACAAGGAGGCCCCTCACCCCCACCAGCCTACACTGCACCCCCTCCGGCACCTCAACAGTTTGTGGACCCATATGTTCAGCCCCCGTACGCGGCGACTCAGAGCCCCCCGTACCCTACTCCATCATCCTACCCTGCAAACCATTCACCTTTTGCAACTGGCCAGGCCCCCTACCCTCCCGCGCAAATCCCATACTCTGCTCCTAGTCAACCTGCGGTTTCTGCCGACATTCACCCCTCATACACATACGGCACTGGATATGGCTATGAAAATGGGAGAAACAATGCTCCACGCTACCCTGGGCCGGCAACGTATGAGGCCGATCAGGACTATTCCCCGGTAACTTCCGGAATAGCATACCCTCCCACTACAGCCGCGGACCCGAGGATTGGAATGGATCCCAGATACACTCCTGAGTCGACGTATCCAGACCGCAATAGGCCCCAGCCGACAAGAGAAAGCCAAGCTCCTCGCCGAACCCGGTGATAGCATTAAATCCCTTCCATGCTAGAGAGCTTAGGCGAGGATCACAATTCTTATTGTGTTATAATGACGGCCTCATCATCCTGGAAACTGCAGGCATTTCCAGATTTACGTTCCGATAGTGGAGCAGTCTGAGGAACAATCCTCTTACATTTCTTAGCCTTACTGGAACATCAGACCAGGAAAAAAAAAGCGTGCATGACTTTGGGAATCCGAATTGCGGAGCCAGACATTTGGAGTACTGGATACTGTTCGACCTGGATACCACTCATATATTTATTTTATCGACTTCTGAAGCGTGCTCAGCATCATCGCTGATGTTGGCTTGTGTTGCAGCTGATCTGCTTCCAATGCACATGCGGGGACGCGGTAATTGGGACCTGAAGATTGGCCCGAACTTCATCGTGCTCGTTTATGAGGAGGCTTTATGGCTTATTTTTGTCTGCAATGCCGGCGCTGGCTGTCTTGAATCTCCTTTCTGTGCTGGGTTATTCTTCTTTCTTGCGTCGTGTTGTTGCTTTTTCTGGTGAATAGGCTGTGGCACCTTGATTTCTGTTTCTTCCGTCCTTTCTGTTTTCAGGGACTGCAGGGATTAGTTTTTACGATGTCTTGAGTTCGGCGAGGTGCACCGACTGATTTTCCACAGTATCGGCTAGGATCTTCGATGATATACGGTGATGCTGTCCACGAGCTACATGTAGATATGAGCATACACGGCGTTAATCTCTGGTTTCTCAATGGTTGTTCCCTGGTTCCGACAGTGATGGTTCCAGTTTTGTTTGATAATCAATCTACATTCTACTGAACTCTGTGAAATTATGTTATTCTCGATTCTGTCTCTCCTGTCTCTTTTTCCCGCAATCTGCCCAACAATCGCGGCTATTGTTTTGTCGTGTGCACCTGCCCTAGGTATTTGGTGTGAGGAATATCAGCAATTGCCCCAACCTCTGGGAGTGACGGCTGTAAATCTGCTATAAGACTAGGTCTCATAGAAGACCTACACATCCTTTGAAAGAAACCAAGACCTGTCAGCTGTGCGTGAAACTCCATATCTCTTGACCTCCAACCGCGGTTTCTCAATCTTCAATCGCGGTTCTTGATTTCTCCGACTAAACTGAACAGCTCGCCGACTAAGCAAAAGACTGATGATGTCGTGCTATCAGGAACTCAGGAACTTCACCGGTGCATTCACTGCGGTTTCTGATGTCGCCGACTAAGCAAAAAACTGAAGATGTCGTTCCTCAGCTGTGATCCTGTTTTTACCTCCCTGAATTCCCAGCTCCGTGTTCTTTCATGGCCTCACCTCCCCTCAGCCGAGATAGATTCGAACTGTGCGTTACTATACGGAACCTCTAACCAAGTCAGACAAATTCAGGCTTTGCATTTCACGGAACCACTACCTATTTTGCAAGCGTCTTTGCAAGATGTGTGAGTCGGTGTTTCAGCCGTTCAACGGAGACATCAAGATATCTGTACCGCCTGATGTGTACAGACTCCACTCTCATGCAGTCGCCAGTCGCTCCGGTACTATCAAGAGGGCAATAGAGCAAGCACGAGAGAACGCTGATCCGTGCACCGACCCGGTTCTCATTGAAATAGACCTTGTCGTGGTTCCTGCAGCTGGCCGGAAGTATGGCCGGCTGGAACTCGAGGTAATTCTTTTTTTACAGATTTCATATGACATGGGATAGTTCATGCTCGCTGACGGGTTTCCAGGCTGTCGCCGGGGTACCGCAGCGCCCACAGCCTGCCGACCTCCTATCTCCAAAGCTCTGCAAGATCTGGGCCAACATGGTCAAGAGCTTGGATGATCAGGTGCCTTACTTGAAGCCTGAATACCCCGCTTCGCAACGACTAGCAATTCGCGCAGATCAGGGCGAGGAGCCTGACGATATACTCCACCACACGAAGGCCCTCATGACCCTGGGCGAGGAGCTCGAAGCCACCAAGGCTGTGTTCTCGGCTCTGGACGAGGCTTTTGTGGGCATGGGAGACGGTCTGGGGGAGGCGGTGGCCGAAGACCCCGTCCAGTGGCTGTGCATCTCCATGACTCTTCGGGATTCCTGGATCTTCAAGGACGCAGCCTGCCATGTGGTCGGCAAATGGCACAATTTGGAACATGAGGTGAAGATGTCGATCCCCGAGGCCGCCCGCCGCGTCTGCCAGAGCCATAGCGACAAGCTCGTCCAACGCTGTCAAGATGTCGAGGATTACATGATGAACATCGAGTTTGCCCCCTCGGATGATCCAGGCCCGTCTGACTTGCTGGGCTTGAGCCCGCATATGTGGGTGGCACTCACTCGGTTTCGAGAATGGGTGTACAAGAATATCAGTGAGGGAAACGGCTTCCGTGGCGCAGAGGGAGGCTTCATTCTCTATCGCTACTTGTGTGAAGAGGAGGATGACGACAATGACGAATATGATAATCAATGGGCCCCCTATCTTGACGAAGACGATTGCCCCAAGGAGGATGCGGACGAGGTCAATGCAGGTCTGCTCTGCCTCAGGGAGCTTTGTGTGGACAAGCTGGAGCCGCTCTTGGAGTCCAATGTCAGCGATTCGAGTGTTCGCTACTTGACTTGTGCCGAGATTGACAATGAGGATGTCCCCTGGGATGATGAGGATGATGATGAGGATGATGATAATGATGATGATGAGGATGATGAATGAGCATTGCCATCCGGCGTTTGTGCTATTAGCTTCCATTCTCTCAAGCGTCTGCTACACCAACATGGACAGCTTGGCTCGCACTTCATCTCGATACCTCGTCATCGCCATTGCCTTTCCGCCAACTTATCAGTGTGCCCAATGTGCAAGGTCCATCTCGGTTATTCTAGCCTTGTGAAATCCCATCTTCCACGCTTTGCTTTCTGCTTGCTTTCCTCTCACTACGGCAATGCTTGTTAAATTGGATATCGGTGACCCGCGTGCCTGCCAATCCTTCATTGCCCTCCTCTGTTGACAATTCTTTACTTCTAGTGACATGGTGTTTGGCTCAGTCACTGTGTTAAAACAAACTCGATATCGGTCTTGCTTCTTCTTCTTCCCCATACTGACCCTGATATCAATTTGCTTTTACTGCGTGTTACTACCTTTTCTTTGGCTCCGTACAAATCACCACCTTGACATCTGACTTGATGAGCAGTCATATCTGGAATCTCCGAGCGAGTCACTACATCAGGATCAGGTCCTTCTTGTTCAGGACCAGAACTGAGAAGAGACATGCTTGAAGAGTCCTAATGACACACTCTGCGGTCGGGAGTCTAAGTCGGTGCTTATCTATGAATGTTTAGCCGTGAATCGGCGGATAAAATCCTGTACAATAAAAGAATCAAAAAGCTTTGCTTGAACAAGACATTCCTCAATCTCTCTGCTCAGTGATACATCTTCTCATGTACAGTACATTGTAACGCTCACGCCCACCGAGTCTAGCAAGCCATGGGCGGCACGCCAATCAACGAGGCGGGAATGGATGCTGATATCAGGATCGAGGAAGCTCCGCTCGCCACCTGGCAGACCAGAGATCCCGTGATTTGACTCCATTGCCTCTCAGCCAGCTTGCCCTCAGCTTGTCCCCCAGAGCCTCGAATTTGTGCGTTCACGTTGTCGATATCTCCGATGGCACCCTCACGGCCCCCTCTCGAATCGCTTGCTTGCTCGAGACCTAAACCTAGCTTATAATGACGACAAACCCCAGACTCAGGACCCTCTGAAAATCGAAAGAAGAAACAAAAAAATCCGAACGGTATTGCATTGCTGTTGTATCTTGTGTGTGTTATATGGGGGAAATTTACTCGTCATCGTAACCCTGCGGGATGACGCGGGGACCGGCGGGGACTGTTTGAGAAAGAGAGAGAGAGAGAGAGCGAAATTAGCAACGGAAACTAGAAGCTTTCAAATCCCGCAAGTCACGGAATCTGCTGCTGGCTGGATCGTCCTTACTGGGATATGTCAAGGGGACAGGCTCGGGGTCGTAGGAGCCGAAGTAGCGGCGGATCGGGGGGATGGTCACCAATGCGACCGGACCCAGGGAGCCGATGATGAGGGAGTAGAAGATGGCGGGCTTCTCGTGCGAGGCCCAGCGCATGTAGCGGAAGGGAGTCGACCAGAATTGAGGAGCGGACATGATTGCGATGTTGGATGGGATAGCTCGGGTGTGGGATCGGAGAAAGGGTTTTTTTTCTTCTGGGTGCTGGAAGCCGACGGGCGTTTGGTGTTCAGGTGGGAGGTTCGGAAGGAAAGTGACCGGTGATCTTGTATAGAATCAATTGGTATGGGAGATCGTAGAAAGACCGGCGGCGAGATCTTCCAGACTCTAGCGGGGAGAGAGGGGAGGAGAGGTCGTAATCGGGGAGATGCGAGAGGGGGAAACGACGGGCGGTGGAACGAACGATGAGGAGAGGTCGAAAGTGACGACAAGCCGAAAGTGGATGCGGCGGTTTCCAATGGAGAAGACAGAGTCTTGGCACTCGGTCCAAACACGTCGCCCGTTCGTGCTCAGCTCGACGTACTACTAACTTACTACGTATCACGATAATTGATGGGTTGAAACTGCATTGGACTTTTTTTCTCCTTGACATCTTCCCCACCTCTTTCTTTTGCGCCAGGAGCTGGCTCTTCTTTCCCTTCCTCTCTCCCATAAAATACCCGTCGCATCATGCGGTGGTGTCTTTCCTTCTTCCTCTTCGGCTTCCTGGCCGTGGTGAATGCGCTCAGTAGTTCCGGCAACCGTCTCTTGGTTGTCTTGGAGGATGCCTCCGAGAAGGGTCTTTATTCCACACTCTGGAGTGATCTGAAGGGTATGCGACTTTGATCCGGTGTGTATGAAGCAATTGATACTGATAATTCCGAATTCAAGCTCGTGGATATGACATCGCCTTCGAATCTCCCAAGAGTGACCAACTCTCGCTGTTCGAGCTTGGCGAGAGAGCTTACGACCACCTCCTCCTTCTTCCTCCCAAGTCGAAAGGTGAGACATTGGCTTTAGCTATCTACCATAGTTGCAATTGAGCATCCGATTGACCTGCTGCTCTAGGATTCGGACCTTCTCTTAGCCCCAAGAACATTGTCGACTTCCTGAACAAGGACGGAAACGTCCTCCTCGCTCTCTCCGGCAAGTCCACCACTCCTAGCGCCATCAGTTCGCTTCTTCTGGAGCTCGATCTCCACCTGTCGACGGACCGCTCCTCGATTGTCGTCGACCACTTCAACTATGATACCCTCTCCGCCGCCGAGAAGCACGACGTTCTGCTTCTGCAGCGCCCCGGCCAGTTGAGACCCGACACCAAGTCCTACTTCGATGGTGAGGGCGTCCTGGCGCTCCCCAGAGCTGCTCCTCACACTCTCGGCGACAACATTCTTGCTGCGCCTATTCTGCGTGCCCCCGTCACCGCCTACAGCTACAACCCCAAGGAGGAAGCCGCTGCTGTTGAGGACATTTGGGCCACCGGTTCCCAGCTCTCTCTCATCTCGACCCTGCAGACCCGCAGCTCCTCTCGCTTCACCCTGCTGGGCTCCGTGGAGAGTCTCCAGGACAAGTGGTTCACCGCCACCGTCAAGGCACCCGGCAGCGGCGAGGAGACCAAGACGGTCAACCAGGAATTTGCCAAGCAGTTGACTGCCTGGACCTTCAAGGAGACTGGAGTGCTCAAGGTCGGAAAGATTGAGCACCATCTCGCCCAGGATGATATCACCGCCGAGGACTTGAACCCCACCATTTACCGGGTCAAGAATGAGACTGTAGGTTATATTGACTCCGGGCAGACAAGATCCTAGACTAACACAACTACAGGTCTTCAGCATCGAAATCTCCGAGTACAGCTACGACAAGTTCGTGCCCTTCGAACTGCCCGCCGAAGACGCCCTCCAGCTCGAGTTCACCATGCTCTCTCCCTTCCACCGCCTGAAGCTGGAGCCTGCCTACCGCACCGAGAACAGCACCGTCTTCCGCACTCAGTTCACCGTCCCCGACCAGCACGGTATCTTCTCGTTCCGCGTGAACTACAAGCGTCCGTTCCTCACCACCATCGAGGAGAAGCACGAGGTGACGGTGCGCCACTTCGCCCACAACGAATTCCCGCGCAGCTGGGAGATCAGCGGCGGGTGGGTCTGGATCGCTGGACTGTGGTCTGTCATCGGTGGCTTCATGGCTTTCGTGGCCGTGTGGCTCTACTCGGAACCGGCCTCGGCTCAGGTCAAGAAGAACCAGTGATTGTAATTTATCTAGATGTCCAGTCAATGACAGTTTTCGTACATTATGTCTGTCACAATAGTTCCGTTCGCCCACATGCCCGTTGTACTTCCCTCACGCCTACGAGTATGATTGTAGAGAATATTCGCAAGAGCTTCTTTCAAAGTATGTACAGTACAATAGTCCCAGAACGTAGTCCTAGAGTAATCACATGAGAGGAGGGAAAGCACAGTCCCAGATATTCTTCCAATCAACTCCAAAACCATGCCAGTGCAGATGAAACAGAAACAAAGAGCATAAAAAAAAGATAGAGCAGAGCAGTTGAATCCCGAGGGGGCTGGGGAATGGTATAACGCAGAAAAACGTTACGAGTGCCAAGCTGGAGGGGGGTTGTTCTTGATGACAACTGACTTGCCCGCTCCCCTTGGGTAACACCAATTATTTCTTTCCCCCCCCCGCGATCACAGACCTCTCGTCTTCTCGGGATCCATCTTCACCTCATCTCCACTGATCTCCTTGACCGACTCGAACGCCGGCTTGCCAGCATACAATTGCTGGGACTTGTTGGAGCTTCCGCCCTCGAGTTCCGTCGATACCGAAATGGGCTGGTTCCCGCGGAATCGTTTGCGCATGTCGATCAAGCCGCGTCTGTTTTTGTGTGGCGGAAGGGGGATTGGGTGTTAGCTTGTGTAGGCCAGATTTAAGGAAATGGGTGGGTGGAATCGATCCTCGGTGGGTTGGGAGTTTACTCACTTGCACTCGCTGAAGCCCTTCCGCAGCTGCTGGCATCGCATCGGAAGCTGGTCGACGTGAGGGTCACTGAGACACTCCCGCGGGCTGTGTCGCTGGACCATGATGCAGTCGGATTCCTGGAGGCATTGCGCCAGTGCGTTCCCTGTTTCCGCGAGAGGAAGGTCGGTCAGAAGAGTGGGTGACAATGGTATGAGGGCTATCTCGAGGTTGTCCTCTATCTCCGACCACGAATGCTGGATCGCGCGCAAGTCGCTACAAACTCCCGCCGCGAGAGGAATTGGGGGAACAGTTTGAGGAGAGAGTGACTCACTGATATCCTGACAGGAAGCCGGCATCGTGGATTGAGTTTGCCCGACTGCTCGAACAAGAAGGTATTCAGTCACGGCAACCAAAGAACGGGCAGCAATCTGATGATCATCTGCGGCCGGCAATTTCGACGGCTCGGAGTGCCCTCGTCTCTCCCCCGGATTAGGTAAGCATCACATGAAGAAGCGGCCGCCTGCCACCCCCTCCAGCATGACGTCTGGGAAGATGAACGGACCCTGTGATTGAAACTCCCCTTTTCTAGGAGGCGGGTTGTATCCTTGCCTTGCTGCCTTCACTCAACGATGAGACTCTTGATTCGACGCGCTATGAGCTACGATAATCCGCCAACTCATTGAGCCTCTCTTTCTATCTTCTGTTCATTTGCCCTACAGTGCGGTGAAACTTGGGCTGCGATCATGGCGCGTGTACCGGTTATTGGGAGGCTGTTTTGGTTTGAGTATTTGGCGCTGTTTGGGTCGCTGATCTTGGTGTTGCTGGAATGGGTCATACATATTATCACTTTTTGTCTGCGTAAGTACACCCGGATTGATGTCGTTTTGCCAAGGGTCGGGCACTGACTGGATACAGCTGAACCTGTCATTCGGTTCTGCTACGATCGTTCGAAGACAATCTTCAACCTCCTGATTCCTCCCGGGGAGGAGCTCGATGAGCGTGAGAATGAAGAGAAGGTCGCTGCGGCCGTGGCGCAGGCGTCCGATTTCACGGACATTTGCGCTTTGTTTGGATACCAGGCGGAGGAGCACATCGTTCAGACTGGAGACGGCTACTTGCTCGGCCTCCACCGCCTCTCCTCTCGCAAGGGCGAGGAAGGGAAACGGATCAACCAGGGTGAAGGAAGCATCAAGAAGAAGGTTGTCTACCTTCACCATGGGCTGATGATGTGCAGTGAGGTTTGGGTCTGCCTGTCCGAGGAACAGCGATGCCTGCCTTTTCAACTGGTAGAGCGCGGCTACGATGTGTGGCTTGGGAATAATCGCGGCAACAAGTACTCCAAGAAGTCCATCAAGCACTCTCCGTTGACGAACGAGTTCTGGGACTTCTCCATCGACCAATTCTCCTTTCATGATATCCCCGACAGCATCCGATACATTCTTGACGTGACGGAGCAGCCCTCCTTGTCATATGTTGGTTTCTCGCAAGGCACGGCGCAGGCCTTCGCGACTCTCTCCATCCATCCGCTCCTGAATCAGAAGATTGATGTCTTCGTGGCTCTCGCGCCCGCGATGGCCCCAACAGGTCTGCCGAACCACGTAGTAGACTCGTTGATGAAGGCCTCGCCTAACTTCCTGTTCCTCCTGTTCGGCAGACGCAGCATCCTCAGCTCCACTACTATGTGGCAGACCATTCTTTACCCCCCGATTTTCGTTTGGATCATTGACACGTCACTCCGCGGCCTCTTCAACTGGAGATGCAAGAATATCAGTCGCTGGCAGAAGCTCGCGGGGTACCTGCACCTGTTCTCTTTTACAAGCACCAAGTCGGTGGTGCACTGGTTTCAGATCATCCGACACCGGAACTTCCAGTTCTACGACGATGAGATCCACGCTCCGCTGAGTATTGTGGCCAGCGAGCGTTTCTACAAGCCGGCCAAGTACCCGACCAAGAACATCAAAACCCCTATCGTCCTGCTGTACGGCGGAAGTGACAGCCTGGTCGACATCAACGTCATGCTATCCGAGCTACCCAGCGGGACCGTGGCCAAGGAGATCCCGGAGTACGAGCATCTGGACTTCCTATGGGCCCATGATGTGAACCGACGAGTGTTCAGCCATGTGTTTGACGCACTGGACAAGTACAGCCGCAAGGGGAAGGAACAAGTCAATGGCGTCAAGGAGGTGGCAGGATCCGACTACTAAGGTTTTGTGATATGCCTGTTCCGTTGCAGCTTTGACTCGATCAGGCAGGGTCACATTTAGACGGGAGAGAGGGGTGCGCATGTATGTACATATAAACTAGGGTACAGGCTTGACAGCTCGATAGGATTTGCTCTACGGCTTTAGAATACACTATAAACGAGGACGTCTCTCTCAGAAGCCGTGACCCCCTGAAAACGCTAGTACATAACCCCCTTTGCAGCGGCTTGCATCCAATTGGCTGTGGATGCAGAGCATTGAAGATACATACATGTATAGATGCATAGTATTTTCGCGAATTTGGCTTGACGGGCTGTTGTTTTCCCTTCCGCTAGGGCGTGGATGGCGTGTTCGTGCATGTAGCCTGATACAGTGGTTTCGCTAAGAGTGTATTCGGCCGACACCTTCTCTTCGGTGTGTGCACGGAGTACACGCCGCGAAGATTGTTTGCGGCAAACAATGTACGTACTCCGTACATCCGATGCATTTCACTTCTGGCATGACAAGCAGCCCAGCGCAGCCTTGGCGAGTGTACAGTACACCTGGCAATACACACACACACACACACACACACACACATACAAGTACCGAAGTAGAAGTAGATGTCCACCGCCTGACACTGAGCGCCCACGTCACGTCACGTCACGTCACGTCAACATCTGGCCGATGCGATGCGATGCAAAAATGCAAGTCATGTCACCTTCCCTCTTCAATAACTCACCGAGGGCAGAGACGCATTGAAACAATCACGATCCCGATGACGAGGCGGGAGCTTCATCAAGCTACGAGCCTCTTTCCGAGTACAGGTCATAGCTGTACACATATTACTCCGTACATAGCATACGAATTAAGTAAACCCTACGGAGTACCTTACCGTACCTCACCTCATGAGTTACTTGTCGGTGTGATACATCGAATCTCGACTCGGATACATCCACCCGCCACACACACACACACACACACACACACACACCTCGGTACTTCGAATGGCATGGCGGTTCTCTCTGTTTCTTCCTCTCCCGTGCGTACTTTGCGTGCGGCTTGACTCTTTTGGGGGCGAGGGGGGACATCGAGCCAGTGAGGTGAAAGTACCCTGCAGGATGAAGAGAACTTGAAGGATTTGATCCGTCCCTGACAGTTTCAGTACTTTCCGGAATTGCTGGTCGCTCGGGTTCGGTGGGTTTTCTTTGGTGGAGTGGAGTGTAACTTACTTCGGGTTCTGTCTTGTTTATCTGGGGTGGGTTGGAGAAGGTGGTACGGAGTAGAGGTTTGGTGGATTTTTGGGGAGTGGGAAGTGGAAGTGGAAGTGGAAGTGGAAGGGTCGGAAGGGAGAATGGAGACCGGAGGCAATAGAGGGAGGGATGTGAATGTTAGATTTGATAGATGGGAATGATCGAGGATGAGGGATGCATGCAGTCTTGGTTGGTGATGATGACGTTGAAACGAGGGGTTAGCATAGATGGGCCGTATCGGGAAAGAGGCAAATAGATCCATGATACAAGGTAATGGATGGAGGTGCCCAGGGTTGATGATTGTTGATGATTGATTGATCTTGAGGGTGGTGGTCTGGGGGACTTTTGTACACTCGGCACTTGTACTTTTCTCTTGAGTGTCTGGTTGTACTGTACCTTGCCATCCGGAGGATTATATTGTCCAACAACCACCCCGTCTGGGTGTCTGTTTATCTGAATTGCCAAATTTCAAAAGTAAGCAGGTACGTACAGTCGCTAACTTATAAGGTGATCCTGGCGCAAGAGAAAGCTCAGGTAAGTGATTGTGATTGTTGAATGCTCAGTTGCTTGTTGTCTATTCATCCTCGTCAATGGCTACCCTGTCCTTCCTCCTCTTCTCCTCTCCAGTCTCCCCTCCAACAATGCAGACGTCCTTCGAGCCCGAAGAATGATCTTCCAGAAGTCGGACGCATGCATAGGAGCAGGACAGGACGGCTGATTCAATTATTCTCTGGCTAAACCATGTTGGCTTCCCCCCTTTCTCGGAGGAAGAGTACGGTAGCTACTACTAGGTAGTTACTCGATGTACTGTCCACTCCACCCTCGGAATTACACAAGAGACGATCTGACCTCAGACTCGCGCTCACTCTTCCACACCCTCTCTCACACCCTCTTGTTCCTTGTTATGCCGGATTGAGTTTGGGGGAATGCATTCCGGACGGGATGGAGAGAAGCTTCAAGCAATGCTAGTCTAATCATTGATTGTTTAAGGTTTTTTTCCTGGACCACCACAACATCGCTTGCCATCCTCACCGCCGCCGAAACGAACGAACGAACGAACTTCCGGGGGCTCTTGTTCCTCAGCGGGTGCGCCCATCAAAGACATCGAAAAGAAAACAGAAGAACATTAGTATAAGACAGGGTCAGAGAACGACCGAAGGTCAGAAAGGTGCGTGAATTCAGTCCGTGTATGTGCGCATGTGTGCTCCGACATTGATCAATCGGCCTGTTATCGCAATCCCATGCATTTCTTCCTCTCTTCCTCCCCACACAAAGCCGAACCACAATCCAACCCACTTTCTCGGTGGACTGGGCTTGGCTGGCTGTCTCTGCCTCTGTCTCTGCCTCTGCCTCTTGTCTGGCTCTTGCTCACGTCTTGGACGCTTCTTGTTGCTCCTCTGCTCTACGGAGTACTTTGCTCACGCTTGTTGTTAGTTTTAATTATTTTCTAGTTAGTCTCCGGCACCAGTGGTAGTGGTAGTGGTGGTGGTCAGAAACACGAAATTCCCCTCCCTCTCTCTCTTGTCTTCTCCTCCTCCTCCTCCTCCTTCCAAACCAAACCAATCCCACCTTCCCACCCACTTCCAAAAACTCGCCGCCTCGACATCTCGAACCACCATCGTTCTCCTTTATTCCGACTCTCCTCTCACCACCCCCAACTCAACTTCCCTCCTTCCCACACCTTGCTTCACCAGACCTCTCTTGTGTCCAGCTTGTCCGACGCTTTCCGCCTGCCAGCTCCCGCGGAATTGGTTGGGAATCGATTGGCATTAAGACCGATGTAACGGATCGCGTGTGGATGTTGCCCTTGCTCTCCCAGCACTCCTCCCGACTCCCCCGCCTCCAACCCTCCGAAAGGGAATCAATTCATTCTTCACCTCCGATCATTCCCTTCCCCCTCCCATCCATCCTTTGATTGATTGGTGCGGATTGATACAGACAAACATCGACAAAGCCTGTTTTGCCCTCCCCCTCCCTCCTCCTCCTCAGGGCTACTCCTCCTCCCTCCTCCCTCGGCCAACC